CGTGTTGAGAAATTGCAGGTCAGATAATCACTGAGGAAGCCAGTTCTCAGTGGGAAAGACTAATGTTTAAATAAAGTGCCATCAATTTAATGGTTAAATATGCAAGATTACATTGTTCATTGCTCTGCCTTATTAGAGACTCTACATGTCTTATGCAAACATCCTGTGTTCTATTGACTTTTTAAGGGAATGAATTCCTGACAGCGTTCTCGTTTTACTCACTGCTGAGTAAAAGCTTAAAGAGTTTCTCAGCATATGAATGCCGTTACTATATCTACAGTATAAATATAAGACAAATGCGCACTACTGATCATCCTAGGTTTGTCCTTAATATATTGTGTAATTAAAAGTTTTTTTCTCAAACTTGAAATATCCTAAGGGAAATCACCAAAATTATTAATGGATTCTTAATTTTGTGTCTTTGATTCAGTGTTGATTCCTGGCAATTCCATTTTCTGGGCAACATTTTCATCGGGCTTTTCCTAGGGCTGAGAAACTGATACAAAGTCTCTCAGTTGAGTTTGCGCTAAGACTGGACTAGAATTCAGTTTTGGTTTCTAGCTGATACCTATTTAGATCATCACTAGACCAAATATATTTTACTGAGATTAAGGCCCATTAGAACATAAGCATGTCATTTGATCATTTAAAACTTTAATGATTTGCAGAATATGAACCTTGCATTGACTTTTCCAATTGTTAGAGAAGCCTTCATATTTTTGAATATATTTCTAAATTGAACTGAGGGCCTATGACTCTTAAAAATATTTAAACAGGCCAGTAATTTCACGATGACATATTCATCAGTGATAAATTCTCCATTTAGAATCCTGAATTTGGGGTATTCAGGGATTTCATTCAATCTTTGAATTAACACTCTTGGCCCATGTAATTCAGCAGTTTTTCTCACACAAGGAGTAACCAACTATTCAAGGGAATCCACTAGTTTTCCAGCAGGTGGCCTGCAAGAGGAAATCACATTGCCATCAACGTAGACAACAGGAATCCCCATGACTTACGTGCTTTGATTCAATCCTTTTTTGGAGTCAGCCAAGCTAGCAATTCAGCTTGTGGCCATGAATTTCAAAGCTGAATTTTGCTTCAGGTAAAAAAATATTTTTAGTTTGTCTTGATTCTTCCAGGACTCCATCTCATTGGTTGACTGTGGATTCCACTATTGTCAGAAGGGCAAAATAGCTTGTCTGTTTTATTCCCACTATGCATAATTTTGTAAACTTCAAATGTGTCTCCTCATCCAACTTCTTTCTAGACCAAAAAAGGCCACATGTTCCAATCTTTCCTCATCGAAAAGCCAATCCATCCCTTTCATCATCCTAGCTGCATACCTCTGGACTTTGTCTAGCAGCTCCTCTATATCCTTTTTGAGGTGTGGTGACCAGAGCTCTGCACAATATTCTAGTTGTGGTTATACAAATGCCTTTAGGCATTAGGATAATTGCATCTATTTTTTAAATACCATTTTATTATTCCTAACATGATAGTGGCCTTTTTTACAACAGATGCACACCATCAGCACCTTCATTGAACCCAGCATTTTTACAAATTGCTAAAATTGCACTGGATTCAAAACAACTGCCACAGAAAGTTACCTTGAAGGTTCTGTATTGTCTCTAACTTGAAGACCCCTGTACTAAGTCATAGTGTGGTGTGGTGAGCAAATCTGTTTACATTTTGTATGAATCCAGCCAACAGCAGCCTATTTTAACAAAACCATGATTTATTGTAAAACGAAAACCCCATCACACTGTAGATACACACATCAAACAGTTTTTCATTGTATTTTTTTGTTTGTTTTACCCTATACTTCATCACTGCCCCAATTCAGTCACGTGTTTCTAGCAAAGTTCAATCACCAGAATTGTCAGTAATCCCATTCAATTTACTAACACTAGAAGTCCTTCTGGAGGAAATAATAGACAGCAGTCCTCTAACAGCTGAACAACTTCAGAGGATTTTTAAGAATCAGTTACAGGCTTCACTGGGAATATTATAAATTGCTTTTTGGGGGGCTTGGTTTATGAAAGGTTGCTCTCTTCTTTCAGGTAATTCTTGTAAATCTTCCTGAATAGTTCAATTTTTTTCTCTGGGGGTTGCTGCCAGTCATACCAAGGATACCATGATGTCTTGCTACACAGAGCTGGGGATGGAGGAGTCTTGGAAACAGCTGGATGCTGGTTGCTCCAATCCACATCTTGGAAGGAGATCAAAGGAGTGCTAACTGATAGAAGTCCTGACAAAGGAGGCACAAAGAGAACATATCAGAAAGACCATGATTGATCTGGTTCACACCTTCTATCTAATGGAAGGTTGGGGGAGGGCCTGGCTTAGCATATCCTATGACTTGAGTGATCTTACAAACCATGGCACAGGGTGGATAATTTATGGCTTGTATGGGTGAGGGAAGGCAGGCAGCATCCTGTCTACAACCTCCAAAGATCTCAAACACCGGGGTGCTGAAATTTGGTAGCAAAATGGCAAATGGTATGGGGAAAGTCAAGAAATAGTAAAAATGGGTATGCAAGCCTTTTGTGAGCCATTCCCATTCTCACCCTTGATGCCCTGAAAACTCCAAAGCATATCATATCATACACTTGCCACCTTCCATTGAACTCTGCCTTATTTTACAGACTCAATTTATGCTACTCACCCTTGTCTTGAGCTTGATCAATGGCTTTGACTAGCTCCTTATACTTATTTCTACACACACCTGTGAATCAAGAGAAGATGAGTTTCCAAGACCTGATAAGAGATCATTGTGATAGGCAAAAAAACCAAACACCAGTATCTGAAATAGTTAGTCCTCATTTAGCAACAACTGAGCAACTTCCTGTACTGCTGATAAATCCTTGGCCACTCAGTCTAACCTAGTCTGTTCATACATACTCAAATTAACAGGACAACTATGTGTCCCAAAGGTTATATAAGTACTGTGTGAATTCTAGACTGATTTGCATTCAGGGACTTGATTGTGTGTGCTATCTATTCCCATCTGAGGTCCTCAGATGTACTAAAATGCTGTCGCTCCAAAGCCCTGGTATCTTGCTTGGAGAGTAGCAAACCAACTGGGACAGTTTCTAAAATAAGGTTTTGGAAAATATGGTGGTTGCTGCAAATGAATGCAAATGTCATGCCAGCAATAACATTGTGTATGGAGTAGGGGGAGAGCAGACATAACAAGAATAGTTACATAAAACAAATGAGAGGGAGAGAAAGAGAATACCTGGGACAGGGAATTAAATGGAGCAGACATGAGATGCAATAGCTGCTTTACCTGTATGGGTTGGATCAAGGATGATATTCGAGTGGGGGCAGATAAACTGTTCAAGAAGCTTCACATTCTATAAGATGAAAGGACATGCCCAATTTTACTCATTAGTTAGAAAAGGAAATAGAATAGAATAGAACAGAATACCTTTATTGTCATTGCATTCCACAAATACAATGAAATTTGAAAGCTACTCCAGCACAGAGCCCCAAACACCACTTCACAATCACACTACAGAGTAATAATAATAATAATAATAATAATAATAACAACAACAACAACAACACCTAGTCTAAAACTTATCTAAAACATTTAGTAAGTTAAATAGTTTAAAAATGCCACTATATACATAGGACTAAATCACAAATGCACTGTTTGATTCAAGACAATTATTGCCTTGGAAAAGAATATGGCTTATACGACCACTGCAACTGTATTTATTAAACTCGTAACTGTTTCGTTGCTGCTTGAATACCACTGATAACAAGATAGACCAGAATTGTTTCTGCAATGGTATCAGTCTTTCAAACTTCCTGTTAAAAGTTCATCCAGTTAGCTTGTGGGTGCTATGACAATTGTTTTCCATTAACATTTTAATGCTACCCTTATAGTTCTTATGTCCAGCTGCTCTAGAACTGCTTATATTTTATATTGTTTATATTGTTTGTAGCATCTTTTTTCTATGTTTAATCTATGGAACATGTTTGCATCTCTACTCCAGGGACTTTCAGGTAAGTTAGGTATATTTAAACAAAAATATAAGAAAAAAATTCCACAACTCTTACCCTATAATCCAAAAAAAGATGTTGATCTCTACAGATGGGACAGGGATTCCCACAGACATGACCTCTTCTCTGTACAGAACAAAACAATTTATTGTGTAAATAATTAGAAGAAAATGCTGTAAATGTCCCCTTTTGTCATAGATCATTTAATGTGCCTGATGTTAGAAACTTTAATAAACATTTAGACATCTGGAACAAGTTAAAGGGTCAGTAAGAAACTGGGAATTGTCTCACGAGCAGAAATTGAAGGAGCTGTAAATGTTTAGCATAGAAGAGACCAAGGTAAAATTTTAAGATACTGTACTATAATATCGTATAATCTAATATTCCACTTGTCCCAGAATGCAGAATT